AGGACAATCACGACCGCACCCGCGAATTTGTGTGGCGACGCACGCCAAAAATCGCCAAATTGGTCAACGAGAAGCTCAAATTGGCAGCCGAGTCCTTATTCGCGCCTCAGGGCGTCGAGGTTGTCAGGCTCTGAACGCAAAGGATGCAATGGGATGTCCTCGAGGATAAAAGCCATTTCTCACTGCTCTGCTCAGCTGTAGTCTACGCCTAAATGTAATTCCTAATTTATTTATTTATTTATTTAACTTAATTACCCATCTATTTATCAACCCATCTATCGATAATAAATCAACTCTGTCTATTCAATGTTTTTGGTAAATTTGGATTGGTCAACAGAAATAAGGAATTATTTTCTAAGCTTTGTTTCAATTAAAGATCAATTAGCACTTGGCTACGTTGTAGGCAAGTTATATATTTTTAATTGGAGGTAAACGGCTCAAAACTAATTTATGAAGCTGTCTAAAAAAAATTGGAAAACCTCTCAAATTGAGTTAGATGTGAATCGATAAAAAAATGGTACACGGCTACCTAGAAAATTGTTACTACGTCAGCTTCTATTTTTGATAAATCATGGCTGGCATTTTTATTTCAATTTAGTTTGAAATTGCAAACATTTTATGTTTATCTATATATTTTATCGAGGAAAATTGCCAGCATTTATCTGGGCTACCAGTGAAAACATTTCAAATATGTTACCAACATTTATTTGCCAATTTCTTAAAATGTAACTTTCGCTCTAAACGAGTTTGCTTAAATTGCGGACCCTTGCCAAACCATTAAGCCCAGTTTAGTTGGCAATTATCCTAGATCACCCGGAGGAAAATCAGGCACTGAAAATGGCTAAAAATATTGTCCAATTCTGGAAAAGCTTCCCGAAACCCTTCGCTCCCTGGTTCTGTAAATAAAGGTGCAGCCGTGGCCGTGTGTCCTTCTCCGCCCACTTTCCACTCCCTTTTTCCCACCGTACCACACGTATCTGTGTCAGGTCGCTTGCAGTTTTCATTAATGTTGGAACTGGGCGAGGAGTTCGTCGGGGTCCAGGTGCGAGCGAGAGGGGTGATGTGGGGGAAAGGGGGAAAATAGGGACGGAGATAGAGGAGGAGACAGAGACAGAAAGCCTGGAACAGGATCCTCCGAACAAAGTAAATATGAGTGCGTTGTATATTGTGTTGCAACCTTAGGCGGAAGGACATGCAATTTGTTGTTGTTTGCCTTTGTTGTTACGCCAGCTATCGCTCTCCCCCTCCGACATCCGGCAGCCCCAATGACTCCCTCTCGCTCGCTCATCATGTATGCTGTTTGTTTTGTCTTGTCCTCGTCTGCCGGCGGATGAAAAGAGAGGGGACGCATTGCTGCTCTTTGTTGCACCTAAATTGACAACAATATCGTTTCATTTGCTCACTGAAGTGAACTCATCAGTGCCCAAGTCCTGCAGCCTGCTGCCCAGGAGTCACCCCTTCTACAGATAAAGAAATTCAAAAAAATAAAAATAAAAAATTAGTCTTAGTTTAAAAAGGGGTCTTAGTAATTATTAGCCACTTTCTTCTTCAATATCTCGAGATTAGTAAGCGATATCGATATGAAATTCTTTTGTTTCTATTACTTACCATTAATAAAAATAATCCGGTAATTGTAAGCTCAGTGTGATGAAATTGGATGATTTTGTTGGCCAAATGATGATAAATGATTTGATTTTAATTAGATTAGTTTATTAAAAAAGTTTGAAAATTCCATATTTAATATTCATTGAGTATATATCCGATTTACTTATTTAGTTTTAGTTTTTTTTTAAATAAATTAGATGCATATTAATATTAATTAGATTTTTCCCCAGTGCATCCCGCATATACCCACACATTGCCACATCATTTTTCGCCAGCTGCTGCCGCTTGATTATATTGGCTCTCAGCGAGGAGGACAATGTGTTCCAACTTGAAGTTTTAGTGGATCTCCCCTTTCCTGATTGCTGATGCATGGTTACGATTCCGCCGCTCCCTCACAAATTTAGCAGGCAACAATTTAAACAAATTCAATTGTCAGGGGAATTGAGGGCCGGCCAAAACTCATTTGCACTTTTGCCTGCTGTTGCCGAAGGCAAAAAGCACAAATAAGTAAAATATGAGCTTGCAAAAAAAATGTATACAATTTTTGCAAACGAAAATTCTTGAGCTTAAAATTTGCATTTGTTATTACTTCGTCGGTTTGCAGATGCAATTGTTGAATATGCAACAATGCCCCAGAACAGAACCTCCAGTCTCCCCATTTCCTCGAGCGCTGTAACTCGGTTAGCAGATTTAATTCCAAGCCAGATCCTGATTGTATTACAATGTGGGCGGAATCACACCCTTCCATTTAAATGCGGGTGGGAACAAAAATATTCGTAGAACATTTTCATAAATCATAAAATTTTCGCTCGGCAAATGAACTGCATTTGCCCCGGGGCTGTTGAGCTAGGGGAAATGTTTTGTAAGATGCCAAATGAGTAAGAGTCCGGTCAGATATTAAAATAAATGGAAAGAACTTTCACATTTACTCGAAAAACTAAAGATTTGGCTTCACACAAAATCATCAATCATATAGGAAATCTTTTAGAGTGTTATTCGAAGTCAGATTGCTAAATTTGACTTCAAAAGTGAAAATGAAAAAATAAATAAATTTAACCGCACACTTGAAAGTTTGCTTTTAGTTTTGACTGCTACTATTTTCTTTAGCAATTTATTTTTGACTTTGAACTTATGCTATCTTGCTGGCAAAAGTTTAAATTAAAAATAAATTTAGCAAACCCCACACTTGAAAGATTGTCTTTAATTCGTTTTCATCAAAACTAAAAATTCTGATATTCTCTTCAATATAATAATTAAACAAATTCCTGCCACAATATTTTCTGTGCAACCAAATTGGAAACTTTTGGTTTTTTGCCTTTTCGTAAAGTTTCTAATACCGAGCAAGTACCGAATGCCGCTCATTAGACTGCAGCCACGCCCCCAGTATCTCCTGCCGCCCACTTAACCCACCAGTGACCCAGACTTTTAAACACCTCTGACAATATGTGCAGAAAGTTGATAACTGGAGAAATGTTATGGGGTCGAGTCGGTTAGGAGTTGTGGCAAACTTTTCCGGGATGGACTTAGAGGGGGTGGGTGGTCAAGGTCAGCGGGATGTCGGGCAGTAATCGGCTTGTTTAATTAGCTCAGTAAGCCCCACCTGGATGGGCATTATGCGGCTGTCGGAATAAGGAGCTCTGATTGAAAGTGTCGCGCGGCTTGCCACAAAAGCGACAACTAATTGCCACATAATCAACAACAGCAGCAGCGGCAACCACAAAAACAAGGGACAACTACATCTGAACGCGGGGAGGGGTGGGGCTTTTGGTGGCCCTTGTGGGTGGAGAGGCACAAGTGGCTGGGTGGATTTTGAACACTTGCGCTTTTTACCAACTCAATTTACGCTAATTACTGCCTTTCGCTCCAGCGATAACTGCTGTCAGCTGCCTTCCACTTCCACCCGCTATTTTCCCCGATTTTCATCATCCTGATTCCGCTTTCCCTTCAAAGAGCGGGAAATCCCACGGCCAGTTTCCCCCGGCTTCCCATCTGCCACGCATTTCCATACGCCATGCGAATTTATATTGTCATTAGCTCTTTTTGTGCCAACTCCAGTGTATTTTATTGAAATCTCTGCCTTCTGGCCACATTATCCAATTCGCCGTAAAAAAAATCTAAGAGATTTGCCGAATATACCAGTGCATGCGCGCTCTTCTCACGGGTCTATAATCATACTCTTTGACACTGACCTAAGGCCGACAGTCTTGCTTAAGATATTGTCTGAGGCAGACGGAGCTTCTCCCATAAAAAGAAGAAATTCCTAATATGAAATTCAAATTCTATTTAATGCTAAGATTATTTTCCCTTTATAAAAAGTATATATACAGCAATACATCATTTGCAATGATAACCCAAAATGTGTATTAAATTATAACAAAGGAAAAGTTAGTTACGTTATGTACAAAAAATATATAAATATTCTATATGTTTAATTAAAATATTTTATATTTTTTAAAGTAATCAGAAAGTTAAAAACTAGTCAAAGTATTTAGTAAGTAATCAAATTTAAAGTGGATAATTTAAATAAATTTAGATTACTCTTATTATTGGTGGGATAATACCAAAAAAAATTAGAACAAAACAATTATTTTAAAAGTCGTATGAAAAATAAAATAAATTAGTTCATAAAAAGGTGTGTTAAGTCTTCAAAACTTTATCTTTTTTATTTGCTTGAATGACAGAAAGAACTTTATTTTCATGAAGAAAGGGTTAATGAAAAATGTATTAACCACCATGCCATTTACACGAGTAGGTCAGTCCATATTAAGCAAGAGCCAAATCAGGCTAACATGCTAAAAATTTATTTTAATAATATCTTTTTAAGGAACCCCTTAGAAATGCTTTACACTTTTAAATGTTTATCTATGACTCCCTGCCTGCCTCATAACCATAAACGGAATTATTACCTTTCATTTCCATTTAATTTCCCCTGCTTTTAGGAACTCGAATCCCTGCTCGCTTCTTGGGTTCCCACCATAAAAATCAACTTAACCCCTTAAAAACAGAATCGTAAAACAAGCATTCATTTGGCTCGAGAACATAATTCGGCGTCATTAAGTTGTTCCCCCTGTTGGCACTAACAAAATAATCGCAAATATCCAAAACTATTTGAAACATTTTATTGTTAGACCTTGAAAGAGCGCTTAGTTTCGTAGCTAAGAGAGCAGCTAAATAAAAATAAAGAGCAAAATGCGGCGAATTCAGCAGGAGTGTTCCGCTCGGCACACGATTTTCCCACCCCTTTTCCCCAAACTTTTCCCGAGACGAAGACAACAAACCCGAATCGCCGCTGATAAAGGTTCGGGCGAGTTCGGGAAATCCCCCCGGAGTCCCCAGAAAAATGCTCCACTGCTGGCAGAAATCAGTTTCAGTTTCTGTTTCAGTTTCAGCGCGACATCGACGGTGAACGAAAGGCGAAGGCGCGGAAAAGCGCGTGGAAAATCCAAATAAAAAGTTGATGGAAATGTGAGGCCCGAATACGTGAGGCGCGACATTTTCCGGACCACTGTGTGTGTGCGTGTGCGAGTGGCAGTGTTTTTGTGACTCGAGGCTAAAGTGTGTGAGTGCAAACGGATAAGAAAAGCGGGCACAATTGGGTCGTAAATTTTGGAAAACGTGTGAAAACGCAGGAAAAGCCTCATTGCCCCATTGCCGGCAGTCGAAAATTGAATGACCTTTTGTCGCTTTTTTTGTTGTTCCAGTTACTGTTATTGCTGTTATTGTTGTTGCTGCTGCTAAGTCAAAACGCTCTCGGCACGCGAATATTTTACGACATCGTCTCCAAAAATTATATACCAAAAAAGTAATAAGAAATCTAACGAAATTCAGTGCGTGTTGGCAGCTTGTCAGCTGTGGCAGGCGACAAAAGACCAGAATAAAAGCAGGAGAAGCAAAATCGAAATCGAAATCCGTCTGCGGGCAAACAAATTATAAAAGTGTTAAACGCCCACACAACGACCTCCAGCCCCGCCCCTTGGCCGCCTCATTAGCATGCAGCAAATTAAGTTGTTTTATATTTAGACGAACGAGGGGAGCCCAGACCCCAAATACAAATTAACAAATTAAAACAACACCAAAATGCCAAACAAAAAACAAAAAACAGGGCCAAACTATCTTTGATCTGCGTCAAAACAGAAATCGCTGCCACAAATATCGAGCGTTAATACACTTTTTTGTGTAATACAATATTGCGGCCCAGGCCAGCCCGAAACACTAAAAGAATGTGACAAAAATTAATAGAAAACACATAAAATATTAACGGAAAACAAGTGTGCGGGGAAATTTACGACAGACTGATCACACTGCGTATGCGCAATGTGCGCTGTCGTCGAAAGAACCGAAATACACACATCCCAGATGATATGATAAGATGTTGTGGCTGCTGGGGAAAATCCAGTTGCCTTGGGCGAAAACTTTCGCTTGCCTCAACTGCATTTGTTGATGGAAAAGTTTTGTCAAGTGTCAAGTACTTTGGCTTCTCAGCGTTTTCCTTTTCTCCAGCACTATTGTTTTGGGGGTATCAACTTTTAAGGCCATCAGCTTATGTGGAATCCCGACTGCCATCCCCAAACACAATTAAATTGTTTCCATTCTTTGTTCTCGCACATAATGCTCATGTAGCCGATAAAAAGAGGAAACCTTGCTCAATAAAATATTCATACAGCCGGAATTAACCGACACACACAATGGGGCAGAAACAAAGGCAAAGATTGCCCTCGGGGAAAGGAAAGGAAGGGGTGGGTGGCAAATTAAACCCACCCGGAACTAAAGTTGCCTCCTAATCACAGTTACTAAGCATTAGAGCAGACACTGGCCCCAAGCTGAGAGGCAGAATGCAGACGCTCGCAATTAGAAAGAGAGGGGCATAGTTGGCTGAGAAAGAGACGGGCAGAGCAATTGAGTGCGTTAACACTTTTGAGAGACACTGCTGACGTTGGCAGGAGTCTCAGACTCCGTCTCTGAATCCTGAGTCCTGAGTCCTTGCCTCGGGCCTTGGCCTCCTGATTCCCACATTCCCGAGCAGCCTGCCCCTCTCTAATTCCATTACGGAAGCAACAGTGACAAGTGGCCAAGGATTCCGGGCAGGATTCCCAACAGGAGCAGGAGCCGCCAGAGGGGGAACAACATGTCAGCAGCAGCCACTTGTGATTGAAGTCACACAGTGAGGATCCTGCAGAGAAAGAAACTAGAGTTTGGATCAAGAGATAATCTTGAATAACGATTTATACAGGATGTTTTATATTTTTGTTCATTACAAATATTTTAAAAACTCACTAAAATAATTTCTTAAAAATATTATTCCTTTGATTATCCTTTAAAGAATTTCTAAATAAGGATAGATGATCTCACATCAATAAAATATGTTTAACATCGTTCAAATTTATTTCTCTATGAGTTTTAATCCAGTAATAATTGTCCCTAAAGTTCAAATTGCACATCATTGAGTTAACGTTTAATTTTAAATTTCTGAGTACTGTATGCTTAATGTTTCCTCTGCATGTCAACTGAGTCCTGCAGTTGAACTCGGACTTAATCCCTTTCCCGCTCCTCATTAGTGTGTCTGTCTCCTTTGGCCCAGCGAAGTTTGCAATTAATTAAGTTTTAATTAATTTCACACAGTGCTGGGGAAAAATTTTCCAGAGAAAAACACACACCGTTTTTCCAGGGGCGTGTGAAAAAGGCAATTCCCCAGCAAATGTTTAACAAATTAGATGTGAGGGAAATGCCGAAGTAGCAGCAAAGTTTCTCCCCTGGGCTGGGCAATTGATTGATGCCAAAGTGAATGGATGGCAGCAGGTCTGAAAATAGCCGCAGGCGGATATATGTGGCAAGGAGGCGTGACTGCTTTGAACAGTTCTCCACAAACTCCTCATAATTTCGGGTTCCTATTTTTGGGATCCGGACACATGCCACCGAAGTTTTTCGGCCCATGAAATATGCAGGGGCAGCTGACCAGCGACAATTCCCAACTTTTGTCAATAACTGATTTTGGTTTATGCATTAGCCATAATTAATTGTACGATGTGAGCAGCTATTTCAAAGGGAATCGGGTTGGGCGTTGCCCGAAAGCCATGTCTGTCTAATTTGTAGTGTAAACTTTTGAGGGTTAAGGACAGGGGAAAGGTTTAAATCCTTTTTTAAACTTAAATAGAAAGAACATATTTTAAAATTGTTTAAAATACCCATTTCAATCTCTTTTCCCAACACAAAATGCCAATTTATGCCAAGTTTTAGTTAACAATATATTTCACTCGCCAGACACTCCATCAAAATCTGGCTTATCAGCCCCGAAAACAACTCAAATTTAATCAATTTATGTTCCATAACAGCAAGAGGAGAAGCGGCAGAAAAACAACGAGAACAGGACAAATGAAATTCCTTTTAAAGCTCTTTAGCCCCAGACGAAAATCAATTCTTTTTGGGTACGTTCCAGGCGGAAAGAAAATAAAAAGTCGTTCATGGAAATGCGAAACGAGCAGGGCAACAAAAAATATTATTCCGGCCTAGGACGAGCCAAAAGAGCAAACACGACTGCAACTGCAGTGCAACTGCAACAACAACAGCAACAGCAGCAACAAGGGCGTGCAACAACAAGGACAATGCTGAAAAAGTTCAACAAACGAACGTTAAAGGATTAAATTGTCTGCCATTGATATTAAGTGTTTTAAATGTCATTGCAAGTGTTTAATTCACGCGAAACGAAAAGAGAGAATCAGAAACAGGCTCAGATGCAGAGAGAAAAATTGCAGATCACTCTTCGAATAATATATTAACTTAGAACGCTATATTTATTTTAAAATACTGAACCAGATAAAAAGAGATATTCTTAAAACATTTTATTATTTCAAAATTCTACTGAAGACTTTAAAATACATGCTTCTAAACTTTTTCTTTGCTCACGTTTTGATAACAAATTCATATAAACTTAATTTAAACTTAAGTCAATAATTTTTTCTCTCTGTAGAAAGGGCTGATAGAAGGAAAGACACAAAAAAGTGTTGTGTGTGAATAAGGGGAATCAAAACAAAAATATATCTTCCCCGGAGATTGCCATAGATCAAAGCTCGTAAAGCAAACAAAGTGCGAATTGATAGGACACAAAGCAGACCTGATAAAGTGTTAGAAAAAAGGATCTAACGAGGAGTGGAAGGAAAGTGAAAAAGTATAGCTGCAACACTAAAAAGAGGCCGAGAATCGAGTGGGTCATCGCAAAATGTTGACCCTGTGGACGGCACTTTTCTGCTGCCTGACGGGTAAGTCAAGTTCCCCTTTCCCCCCGGGATCCTTCCCTATATATATGGTGGCTATCCCATATTCCGTAGCCTGCTTAAGCATGCATAAGATTATCAGCAATATATATATATATACATATATACAATATAGGCCCGCTCAAGGTTGTTATTGTTGCCGCCTCGCCGGGCGCTGAATCCTTTTAAAAACATTTGTGGTTCGGGCTGCGAAAATCCTGATTTATGTTTCTGCCTGCTGCGTTGTCCTTGCAGTCCTGTGCTGCTGTTCTGACATGGCCACTGCCAACCGCAGCAGGAGCAGTGAAAGCAATGGGTACACTGGGAGAAAAGTATTTAGATTTGAATGAGTTTTCAAATAAATTTAAGAAAATTAAAAATTATTAATTTAGTATTTCAAATATTATTTAGCTGGCTTTCTTGTTTTTACCTTAATATTTTCTGGTTAACGCTTGTATATTTACTTTGGTCCATTTTCTGATTTTGTGTTTTTTTCTCCGAGTGTAAAAAGTGAGAGACCAACGTGGAGCCAAAGCAAACAAATGCGGTCGCTTGCTGGTCGCTTGGGGTCGTTTTTAAGGGCATATCGCATAACAGCAGCTCCAATGGGGAATGAGGGGTTAAGGGTTATGGAGTGCGGAGTGTGGTTGGTTCAGGGGTTAAGGATGGGGTGCCTGGTGTCACTGCACTTTAAATTTTAAACGCGCTCCAAACACACACAAATTGCTTTCTACACATAATTATGCATAATTGAAAAGTGTAATTATGCCCGAGACTCTGACTTTATGAGCCGCAAACTGTGAGCTCAATCAGGCGAAAAGCAACAGTTGTGGGTGGGTGTGCTCGGGTGGTGCGGCTACCACCAGGCAGACGAACCACCAGGCCATCCACTCGGGCGCAATGTTTATGAGTCGCAAGTCCTTTTAATTGCGTGCCCGCCTGCACAGAGCAAAAGGGCAAGAAAAAGCCAAGGAGGAAGGCCAAGGAGTCCCGGCAGTATGCCCTTTTCCCGTTTACTTTTTCCTCGGGAAAATTTCCTCCCTACTTATTAAAACTCCTCCTGACATCACCAGACTTTTCTAAGGAATGGTTTTTCTGGAAGTTAAATGGGAAGTATCTTTAAGATTTCGATTTATAATTTTATTCTGTCAATACGTAATTTATTTAGTTCCTAACTGATTTTACAAAATATTGGAAAGATATTCCTTACTCTTTTGCAGCTCAATAACAAAAAATTACATTGTATTAATTATATTATTTTAAATTAAAAAAAGAGAAAAAAAAAAAAAAAAAAAAAAAAAAAAAAAAAAAAAAAATATCTTTGTATGTCGGAATATAGTATAAGTATTGCATAATATTACAATTATTTTTATTATAAATTTGCATGTTTCAAGACTATCTCTGAAAATGTGTTTACAGAGCACAACATTTTTTCTAAAGATCTTGATAAATGTATATTCTTCCTGCCGCTGACATATATGTTTGTCATTCAATGTTGGAGGGCTGTGTAAGCAAAAACTTATCGATCCTAACACTATACCTGTACACTCTCCATCCATTTGGCTTTATTTCTTTGCCATTCTGGCAGCCAACTTTTCATTGTTTGTGTCCTTTGTTTGGGCTTTTGCTCCTGCCAGTTTTGGCCATGTGTTTTTATTGCATTAATTTTTATGGTCGCTTGCTTTTGTTGTTCCTTAGTTGTTTTTGTTATTGTTATTGTTGTAGCTTTTTGGGGTATTTTGTTTTTTGCTGTTGTTTTTTGTTATTGTTGCTGGCAGCGTTACCGTCGACTGCTCTTGTTTTACTTAGCTGCGTATGCCCCAAAGTAATAAAGCGAATTGGTTTTCTTTCAAATAATTTCCATTTTAAATCCAGTTGGCAAATCCCCGCCCACTTTGGAGGATTGGTGGTATTTTCCTTCACTTTTTTTGCCTTTTTAGATTTCTTTTTCCGCATTTTGTTGTTAAGGGCGCCAAGCAAAAGTGGCTTCACTTTCCCGCATAAGACTGTTACTAAAGTTTGGTCGAGATTTGTTGTCGCTCGCCAAAAAGTGGCAAGTGGCATCGGCAATTGTTTCTCTTGCGCTGATCCTTCTATATATATACTGCTTGAGGATTCCCACTCCGAAAAGCCCCCGATTTCCTTGTACTGTCAGTTGTCAAAGGAGGCCTCAAAATTTAATTGAAATTTAGTGTAAACACAATGACAGGCAGTCGATTATCCTGCTGCGGCGGCTCCAACAGCTCCTGCTCCAATTCCTTTTCCTGTTCAACTCGCTTACACACAAAATGCACAAAATGTATACAAATACATGTACTGAAAAAAATTTTAATTTTTACAATGGGCTTATTTAAAGTAGCTCTTTCACTTAAGTTTAATCTAAAACTCTAAATATTAATATGAAAGTAATAATATAATATAATAATAATATTAGCACTATTTTAGTGATTTTAATCAGATATTTAAAACTACAGTTTTTACAATTAAATCTCTGGTAATAAAAAAAGTAAAAACATAATTTTAATTGTTTTTAAGCTACATATTTTTTTAATTCAGTTCTAGAATATTCAGTCATCTTCAGTTCAATTTTATCTAATCCCTTTATTTTATAAAAATATAATTCTTGGTAAAATTGTTCTCTCTGTTTTATTCGCTATATTTCCCGGGCAAATCCTTTTGCGCGCAAATCCTGTCAACTTCGGCTTGACTTTCCAATTTGCCATCGTTCGCCCCTTGTATGTGTCAAAAAACTTGGAATCGACCCCGGAATACCACCAACCCCCTTCCTTTGACTGGTGCCCCCTGACCCCGCAGAACATAACATTTCACACGTGTCACTGAGCAGTGAGTTGTTGGCTGTCAAGATGCCACAGCCCCCGATCCTCGCATCCTGCGAGTCCTGCAAACCTCCGACTGGAATCTAACCCGCTGCCAAGACAACCACCAACAAAATATGGGGGCAAAACTGTATCGGCTCTGTATTAACATTCACTCACAGCTCGCAGACCACGCCCCCACCGCCGCCCCCTTTTTCCGATTTTCCCCCTTTTGTAGAACGTCCCTTGAAATTGTTTGCCTATTTGCTTTGTGCATATGGAAATGAAATGGCAAACAAGAATGGGAGCTGAAGTGGAGCAAAGAAAGTCAGGGAGAAATTACGTTGACACAGGCAAACGCTCACATACACGCACACAGGCGCGGAATATAAAAGGCTCACTCACACCAACGCCACGGGGAATTGGCCAAGTTAGACGTACACCCACCCACACTTTCCTTTAACTTACAGCAACAGTTTAATGCGATTATTTACTGTTTCTTTTCCACTTCACTTTGCTTGAAAGGTGATTTCCAAAGTAACTTATCAAATAATTTTAAACAGCAACTATATATTTCTAAAAATTAACTAAATTGTTACTAGAAATTTTTGAAATAAAATGTATTATATAAATTCTAATTTAACTAAAAACACAAATCAAATAAAATTCATAATTTATTTAATTTGAAAATAATAATCCTATAACCCTGGGCTTTAGAAGCCGAGATAGCTTAACAACATTTCAAACTCCACAACAATGTAGTTTAGTCTGGCCAAATTAATCCAACAATTAAATTTCATCACGATATTAAAAGGCTTATAAATCAATGAAATGTTAAATAATATGGGATTTGCAAATTGAGTACTTAAATCACTAATATGGCTACCGAATAGTTGGGCTTATTAAAATGTGAGCTCTGTTCAATTTAATTTTGGCACTTGCAAATGCAATCAAATTACTCGAGGGCATTGGGCAACCTTCGGAAGTGAACAACAATAATTAAAGTTGTTTACAGATTAAAGAGGCAGTGGATCATAATCGGCCTGATTAACGATATGCCATAACTCAACCGTGATACTGGAAACTCTTTCTCACGCTCCATTTTAACCCTTTTCTTGCCAATTGCCACCCAAAGCGTTGATTGCCCCTTTTTAACCCTTTTTTAAATGGGCAAAGGGGCGCTTGAAAAACTTGAAAAATTCCACAGCTCCTCGTGTTTCGCCTTTTTGGGTTGGCAGTTCATTGGAATTGTTTTCGCTGGGCCACCATTTGTATCCCTTGTAATAGGGTTGCCTATTTTCAATTCCTGCCCCTGTTCATTTCTTTATTTTGCTTATCGGGTAGCGGCAACAAAAAGCTGAGCAAAATAAAAGCGAATAGAAGCATGAACAAATTGTTTACGGATGTGTTTGCGACCTGCTCCTCTGGCAACCAAAAAATGAAAAGAAAAAAATACAAAAAGAACAGAAAAAGTAGAAAAAGCAAACCCCAAACCAAAACCGAGAAAGGATGTAGCAGAAATTCATAACAAACTACATTTCATGGCTTTGTGTCTGTGTGCTGAGGAAATTCACTTGACTTTTGGCCACCATTTTTTTCTATTTTTCCTTGGCTTCTTCGCCTGAGACTGGGGGCATAAATAAGCTCTGGGCCAGGCCAAATCGGACTGCTGCAGTTGTCGCCATTCTGGGCCAACAATGGCCAATAGGTAGGACGCACACACACCGAGCAGCATGAGAATCCTGAGAAGCATGGGTATTTTGCCATGGCACTTATTTATGGCTATTTGTCGGCGGAGTTGGCCAGGACTTTCATGGCATCTTTATGGGCCCTTACTATATGCATATCGCAGCGGCAGCGTCGAAAGTTTGCAACTTTAAAGTCAACAGACTGCGAGTCGCAAGAAAATAAAAACACATTCTGCCGAAGAAGTTTACTTAGCAGTTTCTTAGTTGGCTTTACTTAAGCTTTTTCCCAACTTTTCACCAAGTTTTTGTGTTTTGTGTTTGGCTATCCGTTGCCCAGGGTATCCTCTTAATCATCTTTGCCAATAAGTGTTGAACAAATGTGTATCTTATTTATTGCCTATTTAATCCCATCGAAGCACTTGAAAATCATCAGCTTTTCATTTTATTTTCCCTATGCTAGGCCATTCAACGTCAATTGAAGTCGATTGTTGACATAATTGCC